AAACGTTCATTTCGTCGACGCCATACTCTCACTCTCCCATTTGCAACGTGGACAAAAAACGACACTCGTCTGAGAAAACAACGTTCTCCCACTGTGCATATCTCCAATGCTGATGTTGGCAAGCCCATGCTAAGAGCAGACGACGGTGCCAAGGCCTCAAAGCGGTCTAACATAGGGTCTCCTACAGTGTAGCCGGTGTGTTCTCAAACGTCGACGCACAGTGTTTCCTGAAATTGGTCTGTTGTGAATCCCAATTGTCTGACGGGTTGTAACAGTAGCTGGAAGAAAACGGTTGCGAAGATGTGACGTTACGATGTAACGGTGTTGCCTGTGACGTCACTCGTGGCCTGCCATCTCTAGGTCGATCGCTCACCGAATTCGTTTGATTTTGGCTTTCAATCAGTCGGTAAATTGTCGTCCGATGTACTCCCATATGTTGTGCAACGTTGACAACACTGAAGCCAGCATCAATAATCCCAAGAGCAAGTAGACGTGATTCATTGCTCAAACGTGGTATATTGTATTCTGTACCATTCAGGAAAAGAACACAACAGAAACTGCCGTCGCATCTTTTAAATGGTTCTTTCTCTCATTTTTCTTGAAGAAAGTGTCTTATCATTAAATTCACGTGCACAACGCGTCAGGCCATGCGTTCATGTGAATCGTTTCTGTTGTTTTTCCCATAAAATGTTAAATAGTTAGATTCAATCGTTACGGCTAATCTGACGTTAAAAGTCTTGTTTCAGTAGTTTAATTTCGAAAATTGGTTTAAAAGAACATTTAACTTGCACATGTGAAGTAAATAAGACAATTATGGAAATTTCAAAACAAACATGAATGTCGCGTTTCTTTTGGAACTAAGTATAGTTTGCGGTTGCTGTTTCTGGCCACACCATATACGATGGAGCCGTAATCAGGTTTTTGAGCGGATCAGTGGATCAGTGTATATATACGTGTAGGATAGTAGTTTGATCCCTCGCCATTTTGAATTAGAAACAACTTTCAACAATTCAAATACCTCTTCAGGCATGTGGCTTTAAGAATTTTTAATATGCAGGCTTAACGACGACGCATAGACGACACAAAACAATTGAAGAATACTTGGGGAATGTTGTTCCATGTCTGAACCAGCGCTTGTCCCAATTGAGCTAACGTCAATGGCTGATTTTGGGCTTGACGTAAACGTTGCTCAATTTCATCCCAAGCGTGCTCGTTTTAGAAACAAGAATACCAAGCCGCCTCCCTGTCAACGACAGTCAATTTTCTGGGCCTACCTGCGCCTCCCTGGTGCTCCGTGCCATATCCATTTGCAATATTTTTCAAAACACGATAAACAGTGGACAAAGGGATGCCTGTTCTACTTGAAATCGCTTTAGCTGATCTGATGTCCTTGTTATAATACTCTAAAATCAACTTCCTCTTCTCTAAATCATCCATACTGAGGATCACTGAAAATGTCGTCTGCTAGCAAGTAAACAAGGGGGATAGCTCTTCATAAACTAATGAAAACGGATTAACGGAGTTGTCTCTCTTGAATGAAACCAAGCACTTGATGAAATTTGTATTGTGCCCAACCTATAGAGTCTGCATTAGACACGTTTAGAAGCTTAAGCTGATAGTCGATGGTATCAGTACCTGGTATGACCAGCATTATTGTTTATCACATGAGTACATCTTCCCATGGATATGAAAGCACGGGAAATGTTATTGTACTCATTCAACACTGCATTCTCCAACTGCCGCCGATTTTGTGGAGGAACTGGTCTTTGACGAAGGCGTCGGTCCAACTCGTCCCAGAGATGTTCCACTGCATTCAAATCAGGACTAAGAGGTGGCGAAACCATTGTCTGGATGTGGTGATTGGCCAGGAATTGTCGTGTGATAATGGTGGTGTGGGCGCGGGCATTATCGTGTTGGAACTGCAACTGTGGTCTGGGTCTAAAGAACGGGACGACAACAGGCCTTAAGACTTCGTCAATGTAACGTCGTGCAGTTACGCCCCCTCCACGACCTTGACCGTTGTTTTGGAAGATTAAAGGTGGTAAATGCCTTTCCCAGCTTATTCCACCCCACATCATAAGGGATGGCCCACCCCAGCGGTCACTTTCCAGAACACATGGGACTCTGAAACGTTCATTTCGTCGACGCCTTATTCTCCCTCTCCCATCTGCAACGTGGACAAAAAAACGACACTCATCTGAGAAAACAACGTTCTGCCACTGTGCATATTTCCATTAGAAACAACTTTCAACAATTCAAATACCTTCAGGCATCTGGCTTTAAGAAATTTTAATATGCAGGCTTAACGACGACGCATATACGACACAAAACGATTGAAGAATACTTGGGGAATGTTTTTCCATTTCTGAACCAGCGCTTTCCCAAATTGAGCTAACGTCAATGGCTGATGTTGGGCTTGAGGTAAACGTTGCTCCATTTCATCCCAAGCGTGCTCGATGAGGGACACGTCTCAGGAAACCAGTCACAACACGGGCGACATGTGGGCTGGCATTATCTTGCGTGAAGCGTGAACTTACGTCTATGTCCTTGAGTGAACGGCAGCACAAGGTCCAATAATCCCATCCCTGTACCGCAGACATGTCTGACTGCCATCGACAATAAAAAAGTTGTGTCCGACCATGTGATGTGATGCCCCATACCATAACGCTAATGCCTCCAAACTGTGGATGTTGAACAACGCACACGTCAGCATACCGTTCACCTCGCCGTCTAGATCTGTACACCCTTGCCCTGCCTTCTGATCTGTCCAGATGAAAACTCGACTCGTCAGTGAACAAAACACTCTCCCTATCTTGTCTCCTGTACCGTAAATGCTGTCTGCACTAGGCAAGACGTGAGTGTCGCTGACGTTGGAGCAACATATTGCCGCCGGGACCGAATGTTGTGCTCCCTCAGTCGGTTCTGTACAGTCCTGGCAGAAGTGACAAACTAGCAGTCTGGAGTCGATTCCTTGGATATGTCAGCCCAATGTGGGTGTTGTGCTAACGTTACGTCACGCGTTGACGGCCGTTCCGAGGCAAATCTCTCGGGTTCCCATTATGTTGAAAATGTCTCCATAGATCGTGTTTCGATGGACACCAAAATGTCTGGCCACTTCATTTTGAGCCATTCCAGTCTCCAGCATACCCATGGTGCGGGACGCTGATTTTCGGTATCTCGTGGCATGACGTTCGCGCACTTTAGGTTGAAACTGGCGTATTTTCAAGAACATTTAGAGGCTAAAGAATAATCAATTTTCAATATCAGGTGTGTGAACTTCAGGTGTCAAAAAGCATGCAAAAAGTAAGTAAGTTTACTCTGCACAGCGATAGGTGACATCAAATTTCGTGCAAAGTTCATTCTACTCGCTTATTTAGGGATATATATTATAGCCTTTCAAATAACTTTTATTCTTTACAAATTTATGCTATGCGCAGTTATTTTTCCCGTTAATATAGATTTAGAAAGTCGTAAAGGAGAATACGCCTTTTATTGCATCAATAGGAAGCTAACATGAGTGCATATGCCCCAATATATATAATATAGGCCAAAATATTGTCGAAAATGTGTGACATTGAGTCTTGAAAATGGCCAGACATCAGTCCAGACCTGTCACCTACATGTCTGTGATATCCTTGAATGGCGTGTTACGTCACCGTCAGCAACCACCTACCACTGTCAAAGAACTTGGATCTGTCCTGCAGGAAGAATTGGACTGTTGAACCAAGCTGACACTGGCCGGTTTGATTAGGTGTATGCCTCGTCGAATCTGTCTGGAGAATAGAGGCTGATTCGCGCGATATTAATTAGTTTTTTACTTTTCATGGTAAATGACGTAATGGACAGTAGAGCGCTTTGGCCACCCATCTAACAAATCTATGGTTACCTGACGTTCGACGACTAATGCATAACTCAGCCAGATTATCCCCTACTTTTTTAAATACAGTAGTATATTCAGTGCAATCAAACATCAGGCTGTTTGTTCGTCCCCGTATGTATGACGGCAGCACCATATGTTCAACATACATGCTATATATACATGAACACGCACGCGCACACGCACACGGAGCAGGATATGCGTACCGTTTGTGGCAGACACTTGATGTCATTCCTGATTTTCACTTATCCATTCATATTCACGTTTCCATCACTATTTGTGTCGGAAAATATTGGAAATGCTTATTCTCATAAGTTTCGAGCTTAATGATCAATCATTCAATCAATCATTCAAATGTTGCCTCTCTTAACTATTAACATTTCAAAGTCTTATACTGGAACATCATTTGAACTTAATCCTGCTTTTCTTATCGTTATCAAGTACGTGGAATAATAACTGATTGAAACGGATACACCATTATCAGTGTAAAGAGTATATCTTTTGAAAAGGAGATAACTACTACCGCATGGCCCAAAAAATAAACTAACTGATTTGTGTTATTGATAATCAAGGAAATGCGGTTATTGAAAGATCGAGGCGCCCACCTTTGTCACACTTCGTTTCCGCGTTACGGTATTGTAAAACAAAGTTATGCCCTAATGAGAAATGAGGGACCTTCCCTTCTCGCCTTTGTATTGAAAGTGTACTTTCCCATGCTAACTACCAAACTCCTCCGAAGCGTGACATTTGAAAATGGCTTTATATCAAGTTACCCATTAATGTTTTGTCTCCAGTATCATGGACTTATCAAGTCGATTATCAAATGAGGGATGGTATTGATTGTGCGAGGATCACATGATTATAATCATTTAATTAGTTGAGGCGAACCGAGTGCGGGACCAATGTTGTGAAGCTGAAACATGTAACCAACTAACTACCTTGTCATTGTATATAATAACTGAATACACTGCTTCATGTACGGATTGATTTTTCACAATTGCTGAAACTTGTAGATGATTTTTTCACCATTGTTGTAGCTTGTCAATATGTATCGACGTAGACGTCAAGCCTACCGTTGTGAGGACAGCATTCCACGGCGGTTACAGCGTTACAAGCTGTTCAAAGCTGTTTGTTCATTGAAGGTAATACGTTGTACACGCATCAAAAGAAGGCGATGAAGCTGGTGATCATGCTGTGTCTGCAGTTGCTCTTTGCGTTGTCGTAAGTACCCGAACATTTTAATTTAAATGAGACTTACATACTTTCAGTTTCATTGTTTGTTAAAGATGTTCCCTATTCTTTGATGGTTTGTTATTGACTTTGGCTCTGAGTATTTTTACTTTTTTGAAAACGATGACCGAGACAAGGAACTGGGTGAAGAAAAAACGAAGGGCCCATTGCCCCAAACAAGATTAACAAGAATAAATATGATTTGATTGATTTATTCTATTCTAGGAATAGAACAGGCTGAATATTTAAATTCTCCGTTTCACAAGCTTGAGTTGTGATGTTACCTGGAGAAACTGACAACGATATACATGTACAGTACAAGACTGAAGTATTTATATGGTGAGAAGAAACATAAATCATTGGTGGAAAGCGATGACAAAGAATATATCAAGGTATAATATATTTTTAGTCTCAAGTAAATGGTATTTCTTAACACTTGATACTCATGGTTAGAACATACTGGATGTCTTCTTGGAGTCGTGGCCATCCAGGTCGTTATTTCCAGATTCCGGTGTTTGTATTAACCCCTGGACTTTAGTGAATCAAGAATGAGGGCAATTTTTATGGATATGCAATATGATTTCCATACTTATACTAACGCAAAAAAGTAACGTTGTACACGCATCAAAAGAAGGCGATGAAGCTGGTGATCATGCTGTGTCTGCAGTTGCTCTTTGCGTTGTCGTAAGTACCCGAACATTTTAATTTAAATGAGACTTACATACTTTCAGTTTCATTGTTTGTTAAAGATGTTCCCTATTCTTTGATGGTTTGTTATTGACTTTGGCTCTGAGTATTTTTACTTTTTTGAAAACGATGACCGAGACAAGGAACTGGGTGAAGAAAAACGAAGGGCCCATTGCCCCAAACAAGATTAACAAGAATAAATATGATTTGATTGATTTATTCTATTCTAGGAATAGAACAGGCTGAATATTTAAATTCTCCGTTTCACAAGCTTGAGTTGTGATGTTACCTGGAGAAACTGACAACGATATACATGTACAGTACAAGACTGAAGTATTTATATGGTGAGAAGAAACATAAATCATTGGTGGAAAGCGATGACAAAGAATATATCAAGGTATAATATATTTTTAGTCTCAAGTAAATGGTATTTCTTAACACTTGATACTCATGGTTAGAACATACTGGATGTCTTCTTGGAGTCGTGGCCATCCAGGTCGTTATTTCCAGATTCCGGTGTTTGTATTAACCCCTGGACTTTAGTGAATCAAGAATGAGGGCAATTTTATGGATATACAACTTCTTACTCTGTGAGGCGACGGTTCGGCAAAGATGCTAATGTCGTTGTCAAGCAGAAGTGACAAAAGAAAATAGTACTTGACAACGACATTAGAATCTATGTCGAAACGTCGCCGATACAGAATAAAAAGTTGTATATCCATAAAAATTGTCCCCATTCTTCATCTCTCCACTTCTAGAATGCCAAACAAAGAAGTTTAGTGTATCACACTTACTTGGCACCCACTCGAGACAGGGTATTTTCTATCTCTGACGTTTTAGATTTGTGTTCAAAACAATGGATTAACAATCCTAAATAAAAGGTACCTTATGATAATTATGAGAGACTTTACAGTTATTACAAGTTCATGGTGTGGCTACTTGGTGACTTGCGACGAAAATAATACACATGACTGATATGCAATATGATTTCCATACTTATACTAACGCAAAATAGTAACTGTGCATATCATAAAATTGCATAAAATAAAATAAAGGTATTTGAAAAGTTATAAAAATAACACTAAATAAACATGTATCAAAGCACTTTGCATGACATTTGATGTCACGTTTTCCACGTGGCACGTGTTCTTTGAAAGAACTTACTTTTTCATGTTTTTTTTACACCTGAAGTTCACACACCTGATATAGATAATTGAAGAACGGTTGATTGTTCCCTGGCTCCTAAATGTTGTGGAAAACACGTTAATTTCAGCCTAAACTGTGCGTGCGTCATGTCACGGCTTACAGAAAATCAACGTCTCCGCGCTGTGGGTATACTTGAGACTGGAATGGCCCAAAATGAAGTGGCCAGACATTTTGGGTCCATCCAACATCCGGCCCCAACGGCCTGCAATACGTCCAGGTTTGTTCCAACGTTACCGACAGGCACGTCTTTCCTGGTTCAGGCGGTACAGAAGATTGGGATTGTGTTTTGTTCACTGACGAGTCGAGACTTCATCTGGGCAGCTCAGATGGCAGGCCAAGGGTGTACATACGGCGAGGTGAACGGTATGCTAACGCGCGCGTTGTTCAACGTCGACAGTTTGGTGTCACATCTCATAGTCGCAAACTACTTGCCATTGCCAATGGCAATCTGACAGGACTGCAATACAGGGATGAGATCATTGGGAACAGAGACGTTCAAGATAATGCCCCTCAACATGTCCTGAGACAGCAGAACATTCCGGCACTCCCCTAGACAGCTGTTTCTCCGTACCTGTTCCCTATGAAGCACGCTTAGGATGAAATGGGAGGACGTTTACGTCAACCCCAGAATCGGCCAGTGACGTTAGCTGAGTTGGGACAAGCGTTGGTTCAGACATGGAGCAACATTCACCTAGCTTTCTTCAATTGCTTAGTGTCGTCTATGCGTCTTCGTTGTCAAGTCTGCATCAACGCCAATAGTGGACACACACGATACTGAATTTGTAAACTGACTTTTGACACCACATCTCTTCAAGGGCGTATCACGATGACTAGTGTCAATCATACAGATTTCGATATTATCCAGTCAACAGTTAAACAGTGGTTAAGGAAAACACCACAAGTCATGTCATTTTCTTTTTTGCAATAAACAATCGCATAACATCAAATGCTGCACATTTATTTTATTCCAGTAGTATAGTATTTCGGGTAGACATTCAGAGCATTTGACTAGATATTACAACTTGCTTGTCAAAATTCTGTCCCATGACATGACATGCCATGATTTTAACATAGAGTGTTCAAAACTCATATTCCAAGGACACTTGCTGTTTTAACGAAGGGGCGGTGGGGTAGCCTGATAGTTATAGATCTGGGTTCAATTTCCCACATGGGCACAAAGTGTGAAGACCATTTATGGTGTCCCCCGCCGTGATATTGCTGGAATATTGCAGAAGGCGGCGTAAAACATACTCACTCAAACTCAAACATATATGCGTGGTAGGCGGTTTTCGGTAGGTGAGGACACATGTGTAATGTTTCACAAACAAACTCGTGTCCTCACTAAGTTTCAGTGACCCGTACGTATAATTTTCATCTCTGTTGATTTTGTTTTGGCAGATATTCGATAATGGCGGCGTTGACGTTCTGAAACGTTTGATGACTGAAGTCAAATGTTTAAAAATGTTTGTTTTTTTCTCTCTTGATTTCAAGAAATGGAATCCAATCCACGTTTGAGCTACTTACACAACCCAACAACGACTTCAGCAAGTTCGGGTACCAGGAAGCGACAGTGAGTACGGGACGCCATGATGAATGTGCTTCCCACTGCGCACAAAACCCAAGATGTTCTGTCTTCAAGTACGACATACCAGCGTCCTTGTGTACTACCCTTGTACCAGACAGGTTTAATTGGGTCAGTGCCGAAGTTCCGAAAGCCCAAGAAAGCGTCTACGCCTACACAGATACAGGTAGATACAAAGTCCTTTAGGGTATCACACATGCGGCACCATATTTGACTGCATAAAACACACACACACACACACACACACACACACACACACACACACACACACACACACACACACACGCACGCACGCACGCACGCACAAACCACATACAAACACACTCACACAGAAAGAAAGAAAGAGAGTACAAAACATAGCCTAATATCATCACATCTGGCTTCTAGATGGTGACCAAAGGTTGCGCTGTTCTAAATATTAATTGTACCCACATCTCATCATGTTGTTTCAGGATGGTGCCCTGTTGAACAGGGATACATCTTCCTAAGGGATATTCAGATGTGCATATGGGTCTCCTCCACAACGGCCGACAACGACACCGCCGTGATTCAGTGTGGCCAACACGGGGGCAGACTCATAATCCTTTCCGACTCCAACAAATGGGAGATAATATCAAAGATGGGTCTGGACCCACTGACTACAGGTTAGTTCCCCCTGCCTATCTTCATACATGAAGTCCTGTACACTGTGTTCTCACAAATGACAATACAGGCACACTTAATGGATGACAACTCTTTTATTTCGTGAGCGCGACGTTCCGGTACAGATCCTGTACCGTTGTCAAGAAAGAATCAGAAGTTGTTACCCATAACGTTTGTCTGTATTGTACTTCCCAAACTCTAAAAAACACCACAATTATATTATTGTATATTATTATATTATCTTGTACGTTTTTGTTGGCATTATCCTGTGTGAACGAGTGGGAGGACTGTGCAAAAAATGACACACTTTCACATGAAGTTCGATTATCTAGTTCTAATCAGCGCTACATTTAGTTTCTAAAATGGTTTAATACATAACCATATATGGATGAATGGGAGGATTTCGCTATAACTGTCACTACACGATTCATTGCTTTTTAGTTCAAATCAAAGCTGTACTTTCTGTTTTAAAATGGTTCGTTATATAATCTTGTGTGGAAGAGTGTTCGCTGTTAAAGGGAAAATGTTCCCCATTCTTATACCTTAAAAGTATGGTGTCCTATAATTGCCATCGCGTGGCGCGTAAAAACGAACGACGTCGTTCGTTTCTTACGCGCCACGCGATAGCAATTATAGTTCACAATATAAAATCGATTGCAGATTGATATAGATGATGAAAATAACAACTCGTGCTCCGTGCTGCCTTTCAACTATGGTGGTTTGTGAGTCATTGCGTTTATTTTTACGCCACGCTCAGCAATACTGCAGCTATCCCGGCGGTCTGTAAATAATCGAGTCTGATCAGACATTCCAGTGATCAAGAGCATGAGCATCTGTCATCGCAATTGGGATACGATGACATGTGTCAACGAGCCTGACCACCCGATCCCGTTAGTCGCATCTTACGACAAGCACGGGTTACTGAAGATCAATTCTAACCCGGATCTTCACGGGTCATGTTTAGCATATATGACATGTATTGGTCTTTAAACTCAATCACTAAATAAATTGCACTTAATTGTGCAGACATTTTCTGACTTTGATACTCTTATTTAGGAGGGGGACCGCGAGTATTCCCGTTGGAAAAATCGTTCCGACCCTTCGCGTTGTACCCGTACTTCTCCGACCTGCGGTGGTGGTGAGGTAGCCTAGTGGTTAAAGCGCTCGTCACGCCGAAGACCCCGGTTCGATTCCCCACATGGGTACAATGTGTGAACCTATTTCTGGTGTCCCCTACCGTGATATTGCTGAAATGTTGCTAACACAGCATAAAACTCAACTCACTCACTCATCCCGACCTGCGTGACTGTGAGATTTCCCATCACATAAGGGGGAGGGTGGTTCAGTCATTAAGGCATTGGTATGAGAGCACCATACCCGTGCTCGTGAATTACTTTCCACATCAACCCTACATGTCGCCGCATAACTAAATCGATTTATGTGCATGCATTTGTGTAGTGCAAAGTGAGTGAGTGAGTTTGGGTCTACGCCGCTTTTAGCAATATTCCAGCAATATCACCGCTGGGACACCAGAAATGGGCTTCACACATTGAACCCATGTGGGGAATCTAACTCGGGTCTTTGACTTGACGAGCGAACGCTTTAACCACTGGGCTACCCCACCGCCCGTAGTGCAAAGATGTATCCGACGCTAAATTGTTTTCACTGCTCTCGTACCTTTCCGGTTATTTCCTTTGCATGTACAAATTGTAAATATCTAAGAGAAGGTGTCCTAAGCTGAAGGATTTGTACCAAATCTCATTCAGTGTGTCACGTGACAGATTTGACGGGGTGTACGGTTCGTACACCCTGGTAGAATTGCCTACATGGTTTCGTATGCTTTGCCTATTGACCAATCATTTTGACAAATGTGTCATAATAGTAATAAATGTACATATGAGAGCTGTAAAACAATGCTTATCACAAACTCATTCCAGGTCTTACTGTCCTAGTACGAGTCGGCGCCGATGATAGCACCGTGCCAGGAACGTATGTATGGGGAGACGGACATCCAGTGAATAACAGTCTGTGGAATGTCGGGGAACCAAATTCTTTGACCGAACACTGTGTTTCCATCTCTAATGGAGCACTCTATGACATCCCTTGCAGTATGGAGGTGTACTTCATTTGTGAAATACATAAATAATTATATAAAGTTTCTCTGAAACAGTCACAGCAGGTGCACCCTCTCTCATCTCCCCCCATTGTCTGTGTTTAGAATGTTTGATGTTATATAACAGACAGTCCAGTGATCGACACTGTGAGCATCAACCGATGACATGTGTCAACCATGTCAGCTAGCCTGACCACCCGATCCCCTTAGTCGCCTCTAACGACAAGATGGTCTGCTGAAGATCAACTCTAACCCGGATCTTTATGGGTGTAGACTGGTGTCAAACACCAACACAGTTCAATATGTACTATGTAAAGATGTTTTTAATCTGTAGTTGAAGCGGAACTGTATTTAAATGTTACAAAATGCAAGTCTCTGTTCATTACATATTCACGATTTCGTCTTGGATTATCCATAATACTAGTTAACATTGGAAGACAGTGTTCTATACTGAAACCACTGTGATTGTGCCCTCTTATGTCAAGTGTGTATGGATATACCGTTTGTACTGCTGAAATTGTTTTAAAGGAAGCATTTTAAAAACTGTTTGTTCTGTATAACTTGATTCAAGGGAAGCATTTCATATACTGTTGGTTTCTCTTGTTTACACAAGAGCATGTATCCCACGGAAATACATACCAAATTTGTTGGTTTGTTTGTTCCTTTGTTGTTTAACGTCGCCCACAGTTAAATGGCGTCGGTCTGTAAATATTCAAGTTTGGACGAGACAGCGAAGTGATCAACATCATGAGCATTCGGTCCATGCCATATGCAGCCATGACCAGTTGAACCAAGAGGTATTATCTCTTTGTACTCTTATTTTGTAGACCCGTGAAGATCCGGGGTAGAATAGGTCTTCAGCAACCCATGTGCTTGCCATAAAAGGCGATTATGCTTGTCGTAAGAGGCGACTAACGGGATCGGGTGGTCAGTTTCGCTGACTTGGTTGACACATGTCATCGGTTCCCAATTGCGCAGATCGATGCTCATGCTGTTGATCACTGGATTGTCTGGTCCAGACTCGAGTATTTACAGACCGCCGCCATATAGCTGGGATATTGCTGAGTGCGGCGTAAAACTAAACTCACTCACTAACTCCCTTATTTTGTACATGCTTTCAGAACAATAAACCATCTTTATCTTGATCAACTGCCCATTGATCTTAGTGTGTGTTCAGTTTATCTTGGTTCTGTATATACCAGATATAAAGTACTACATTCAGTTTAAAAATTGAGACATAATTCACCTCACCCATGAATAGTTAAGACATATCCAGATATTGAAACATTTACACTTTCAACGAAAAGGCACCAGATGTTTGCCTGGGCTGTCTGCATACAAACTTTCATGAAAGAGGACATATTAGTTTCGATGATATAGTCCAGACAAATACATTATATGAACACAACCAAATTCAAAATTGTTGCCATGGAAACAAAATCGTATTTTTAAATTCCCTAAATAGCAGCAAGAACTAGTTGGTTGAAAAACTGTGTTTTGTGTACAAAGTCTCATGAAAGAATACCTTTTATTCAGGGACATATGAAACAGGGACAGCACACCGTTATGAGCCAAGTCAAACTTGTTTCCACGGAAATGTGACAAAATGCAAATTCTAAAAAGTCCTTAATTGGAAAAAGACGGCACTTGACAATCTGATCTCTGTGTGTGACAATTTTGATAATTAGATTCTTGTTAGTCTTAGAGATGAATTCCGGACAAACACACAATTTTGATGAGAGTTAATGGTCACATTCCGTGGAATCGGGGAAAAACTAAAGTTCTAAAACTCCCTTAACAGCAAAAAGCACCAGTTGTGTGTACAAATATTTATGAAAGAGTGTCTATTAGTTAAGGGATATGGCTCGGAAAGAAAAACATTAGGGACGGACAGACAAGCGCATAACTATGTCCCTTGTGTCAGATACCGGGGGAATAATAAAAAGTACAAAGAATGTTGTGATCCATACTAAATGATAGTCATCCTTAACAGATACATGCCAGCAAGGATATTACTGGGTGAGTGAGCGAGTGTGCATAGTTTTAGCCGATTTTTACAATATTCCAGCAAGATAAGAGGGACACCTCGAATGGACTTCACACACTGCATAGAATCGAACTCGATTCTTCAGGTAGAACAAACTGTACAAGCGCAGTTGGATTGTAAAACGTTTAGGGCATAATAACAAGCGAGAAAATGTCAGTTTTATCATCAGCACATGTCTTGGAATAAAGCTGACGTTAAAATTTCATGAACGGTCAGATTCAGCCAACTGACCATTGTGAAATTACTCCAGAACGGACATGCCACGAAGGGAATGCCTTTGAACACAGACACAGACATCAGCATCAACACACACACTTGTAATAGATCCAGCGTCATGTTCTAGAAAGAAATGTCATGACATGTAAGGGCCCTCATAGCAGTGGTCACATGTTGGCGTAGATACTGGCCGCACGGCTGTATTCCTTTACCATGTTGTAACACAGCTGGTAGTACTCCTGAAAGTAAGACTTGTTATTAAACATTCCAGCTATAAAGTCGGATGACAACTTGATTGTACAACTCGTATTTGTGAATAATTCCCACACAGTTTGTTTCCTTTGATAGCTTACTCTGAACGTTTGTGGAATTTGGTGTGAAATACAGTACATTAAATATGTTCCGGTTGTTTTATCGACTGGGCTGGACTAACATCTAGTCTCTGAAATGAACATCTTTTACACGCAAAATATACTGTTCATAAAACATAATCATAAAATATAATGAAAAGGAGCCCAGAGCCCATTTTCGGAAACTGTGGAAATCTAGACTTGCCACATATTCTAGACTTGCGTGGGCTTTCATGGATATATTTATTTCAGGGTCAGTATGACAGACTACCACTGTGTCGTCACAATATTTTACGCATCAACCTCTCATGTGCAATAATTTGAACTGAATACGAGTATTATTTGGGATAAGATCCAATACGCATACTTATTAAATCAAACTCACAAAATCCCCCATAACATAATGCGACCATTTCTGTAAAACCGTATTTTTCAGTTTCTGTATTCTTCTGATGATACAGAATAACCATGAACCCTTTAAGTACTCACAAAGGACTGCATGAACTGTGGTCTAACACGCTGCAGTTCCCGGATGGTGAGGAAGATGTCCACGTCCCCGTCCAGCCTCAGTCTGCTGATGATGTTCAGGACACTGCAGAAGACGACGCTCACACTAGCGCCGTCACTGCCATAGCCAATATACGACCAAATGTAAGACAGAATGGCAGTAAAAGACCTGTCATATTTATATCGATTCTCTTTCACATTCTACATCTGAACAATATTAGTATTTCCCATGTTTGCAATTTATCTTTAATGCAATCTTTTTAAGCCTATCGTCTAAACAATATAAATGGGTAAACGTGTAAACCCAAGTGAATGAGTGAGTATGGTTTTACGCCGCTTTTAGCAATATTCCAGCAATATCACGGCGGGGGACACCAGAAGTGGGCTTCACACATTGTATCCATGTGTGTGTGTGTGTGTGTGTGTGTGTGTGTGTGTGTGTGTGTGTGTGTGTGTGTGTGTGTGTGTGAGTGAGTGAGTGAGTGAGCCTAGTGGTTAAAGCGTTCGCTCGTCACGCCGAAGGCCCGGATTCGATTCCCCACATGGGTACAATGTGTGAAGCCCATTTCTGGTATCCCCCGCCGTGATATTGCTGGAATATTGCTAAAAGCGGCGTAAAACCTTATTCAGTCAGTCAGTCCATGTGGGGAATCGAACCCGGATCTTCGGCGTGACGAGCTAACGCTTCAACCACTCGCCCCTGTAGTCCCAGGTATAACATGTGTTAAATACAAATGGGGTCATTTAACGTTCGCGAAGGTGCGGGTTCGTGCTCCAAAAATTTCGATTTGGGAGTATAAGCATGAACTGCTAAGGTGAGAACATCAACGAATGACATCGTCAAAAGATAAATGAAGTGTATCTATTAAAACCAAATGTATCATAAAGAATATTCAACCTACTATTACAGCATTGCATACACATCTGTCAGAAGTATATAGCAAAGTACATACTGGCAATGGACAAGGACTTTGTGGTCAGCGGAAGTGATGACCATGTGCACGCTGTTGACCAACTCCAGTAGTGATGCTGGTTGGGACATCATGTTAAGACACTTGAGACTGAACACATCGACGGGTCGCTCACAGCCCTACATCACAGGATACAGTGTCAGTATCTGACTATGATTAGTCATTTTGTTTACAACTTAGCCTACGACCCATGAGGATCCGGGTTAGAATTCAGGCCTACCACAGAAAACTTTCCCACTGTGCAGAAACACGCAGAAAAGTCAACATTAATCGTGGAAATAGCAACATAAACATAATACCTCGCTACTGAAACAGTAAAAACGGCAACGAAAGACTATGAAACTGCAACATGTTCATATCAGCGAACTTTGACCTCTACTGCGCATGCGCATTACGATCTGACCCGGAAAACTATTTCCGAGCAACCGTGAATCGCCTCGTGTAGAAAACTTATTGAATATGTCGAAATAATTGCTGTCAATTATTTCATACGAATGGAAAGTAAAAGAAACAAGTGTGCACACAAGTATGATGATGATGAATGCCAAATAACACAATACAAATACTTTAAAAAGGGAATGTAAGCACATGCGGTGGAGACTTCCTCTTCCATGTGCACATGCGCAAAATCGAAGTTGCAGGCTCTTCGTTTTTTTATCCAGTTTTAGCGATTTAAAGTTGCCGTTTTTACTGTTTCAGTAGCGAGGTATTATGTTTATGTTGCTATTTCAAAAATTAATGTGGACTTTTCTACGTTTTTCTGCACAGTGGGAAAGTTTTGTTTGGTAGGCCTGGAATTGGTCTTCAGCAACCCATGCTTGTCGTAAGAGGCCACTAACGGGATTGGGTGGTCAGGCCCGCTGACTAGATAGGTTGACACATGTCATCGTATCCAAGTTACGTAGATCCCGTGAAGATCCGGATTGGTCTAACAATCCAAAATACGATATTGGAGGATTGTTTTGACCTAAGTATGCTTAAGTGAGAGTGACATGGTTAAGAACAACTGCACAGTTCATCGTCAGTTATCACCTAGTATATTCAACCCTGTGAAGATCTGGGTTAGAACTGGTCTTTAACAACCCATGCTTGTCATAAAAGGCGAATGCCGGGATCGGATGTTCAGGCTTGCTGACCTGGCTGACACGTCATCGTATGCCAATTACCTAGATCGATGCTCATGCTGTTGATCACTGGATTGTCAGGTCCAGATTCGATTATTTACAGACCACCGCCATATAGCTGGAATATTGCTCAGTGTGGCGTTAAACGGCAAACGGACAAATCAATTTAGCCTACAGTAGTACCAAGATTAGCTCTTACTATATACGGCTATTGACACGCATGTTTAGAACCAACTTGCCCTTCCATCAGTTCATGCAGTAAATCCAAAGTAAATCCATCGCAGCTGATGAAATATATATGTATTATATATCGATCTTCTACATTGCTAAATAGGAATCACATGCATCCCTTACCTTGTAGACAACGGTAAACCTTCTCTGTGTATACATCTCCCGGCTTGGTTCCTCGCTCGCATGTGCAATAGTGAATGGTCCCCGTTTAAAGTTTTGGTTTTCTTTGGGATATACGTTCTTCACCTTCTAGAATGAATAAAATCAGGGTATAGTTTGACTTCTTACGCTTAAAAACAAGACTTTTCCAATGTACATCAAGAGTATATCTTTCGAGATACATTACACTAGTGGCTAGTGACCCGTGAAGAACCGGGTAAGAATTGATCTTCAGTAACCCATGCTTGTCGTAAGAGGCGACTAACAGGATCGGATGGTCAGGCTCGCTGACTTGGTTGACACATGTCATCGTATCCCAATTGATTCTCACAGGATTGATCACTGGATTGTCTGGTCCAGACTCGATTGTTTACAGACCGCCGCCATATAGCTGGAATATTGCTGAGTGCGGCGTTAAACAACAATCAATCAACTGATTACACAAGCATGAAGTTGAACGAATAGTGTAACCTTGGAGTCATCCAGGCAGATAACGGTACGACAGTCATGGTCGTACACAAGTCTCCAGAAGTCCACCACGGTGTCTGGCAGGGGTGTCTTGGTGACTATCAGGTTGCTGGGCCGGAGAACAGACTGAAGCAGCAAACATGAATTGTTACGTGGTATTGTCAATTTTATTTGTAAAAATATTTAAAATACCTCAAAGAGTATTTCTCAACATCAGCAGTGTGATATTCACTCCATGCACTCTGTGTCAATAGTCAGTTGATCGGCATATTAAGGCATTAAGACCTGTTTGCGTTTAATACCCGTACAACATGTATTTGTGAAATACATATGATACAGGTAATCATTGGATGGTCGATTGTTGATCGCACAGCTGTAATACAAACAAACATATGCTCGTGAAACAATCAGAAATGTAAATCGACTTTGTTTTTAGCAGTGACTTCTTACGGACAAGGACAGGGTTTTGTTGTTTCTGTACAATACGGTATGTATGCTGGATAGTTGATAATGAGTGAGTGAGTTAAGTTTTACGCCGCACTCAACAATATTACAGCTATATGGCGGCGGTCTGTTAATAATCGAGTCTGGACCAGACAATCCAGAGATCAACATGAGCATCGATCTGTGCAATTGGGAACCGGTGACATGTGTCAACCAAGTCAGCGAGCCTGACCACCCAATCCCGTTAGCCGCCTCTTACGACAAGCATGGGTTACTGAAGGTACATTCTAACCCGGACCTTCACGGGTCTAGTTGATAATGAATTGACTTCAATTTATATGTACACTATAGCTTTACATGCTACTCAAGCAGGTATCATACATACAGACAAAACTACAGCATTGATGTAGTCTTTGCGCTGGTGAACCGGTATACTCAGATGAAGTCTCGTCTTGCTTCCTGGAACAAGAAACCGTTCACTACTCACTCGTTAGTACAGGTGAGGTGAGGTGAAATTGGGTTTAACGTCGTACTTGAGAATATTTCGCTCATATGACGACGTGCATGACGTGCATGCGTGTGTATGTGTATGTGCGGCTGCTTGTACTAGCCCAGACTTAAGCTGGTTTTATAGTGCTAGCCCACTGAGATACCATGCCGCAGTGAAGCATGAATACCCCACTCAGACACATTATACTGACTCCGAGCCGACCAGTCCTTGTTGTACCCATTAATGCCGAGCGCCAGGCAGGAACCAACAAGAACCATATTTTAACGTCTTTTGGTATGGCGCGGTCGGGGATCGAACCCGCGACCTTCCGCTCTCCGGGCGGACGCTCTAACCACTACACCACGGAGGCGGTCCGTTAGTACAGATAATATATAAACAGACACAAGTACACTTTATATTGTTATGTAACCTAGCTACCTCGTGGACTCTGTTAATCGAGGAGTCATCTTATTGTACATTTTACAACTACTGTTCACCAACCAGATCGCCACATAGTTGGAATATTGGAATATTTGAGTGCGGTGTTGAACAACAAAACAAACCGGATCTGATTCTCATTATGCGGCTCTGATTCGCAAAGCAGAGGAATATACTAGGTGATAACTGACGATGGATTGTGTGGTGTTCTTGACCATGATTCTCACATCAGCATACTTAAGTCGAAATAACCCCCCAAGTCGCATTTTGTTGGAAATGGATAGAAATCTACGTGAGAAAGTTGTTCTGCTTTCAAGATACCCGGAAGTATATTTGGACTCCTGTTTTCAGAAGTATTTTCAGGCAGAAGACTTGTCGATGTGGCTTCCTCTGCCACTCTGGACGTAACGTCTTGCAGTAACTGAAACCAACCAGACATTGTATTCTTCAATTATGTTATAGATTCGACCTTTTGTGCATTTGCAACCCACTTTGCTCGAGTTGGATGTACAGATCTAAATATTGATACCAGGAGACATCACAGTATTGCAAAATCTGAGTGAGTGAGTGAGTTTAGTTTTACGCCGCACCAAACAATATTACAGCTATATGGCGGCGGTCAGTAAATAATCGAGTCTGGACCAGACAATCCAGTGATCAACAGCATGAGCATCGATCTGGGCAATTGGGAACCGATGACATGTGTCAACCAAGTCACCGAGCCTGACCACCCGATCACGTCAGTCGCCTCTTACAACAAGCATGGGTTACTGAAGATCAATATTCTAACCCGGACCTACGCGGTTATGCAAAATTTGAAAACGTAAGTACATATCGTAACTGACACAATATCGAAGATCTGTACAACTTCACCCTTATATGGTCATTCTTAAAGAACATTCAAAAGCAATACATACCAAATAAATTCTTAATTCGACCTTCAGTACAACAATTTATTCGGGTTATGGCAAAATTTAAAATCTGTTATGTTACACTTCAAACATGTTTTCAAGATCAGAAACGGACGCCATATACACTTCAGGTATCTGGGCCTACGTCCGTTTATACAATAAACATTTAAATTTGAATGTGATAGAAAGAATGTTTTTAGTGTCTTACCATTTAACAGGTTAAATGCGTGATACAGAAACATTCACGCCTCAGTAAGATCAGTATACACCATAAAGCTATCTGATGTCAGAATACTTTATCAATGCTGATCAATCAATTAAATGAAGAGGATGGCAAATACCTTAATAACCGTGTTCGCGATTAAGAAACCCACGCTGTGACGAACGTCTTGTCACTAGTTAACAATATGCATCCAATTACTACTTTGAAACAGCCATAGGATGTTCATCGCTAAACGGGGGCGGTGGGGTAGCCTAGTGGTTATAGTATTCGCTAGTCACGCCGAATACCCAAGTTCGATTCCCCACGCGAGTACAATGTGTGAAGCTCATTTCTTGTGTCCCCCGCCGTGATATTACTGGAGCAGTGCTTAAGGCGGCGTAAAACTAAACTCATTCACCCATGTATTGAACTGTGATGTCTTTCAGATACTCAATGTACAATCGACCTACCAAAAATTGTTTTCTGAGTTTGGTGTCCTGTGGTTCAGTAAACGTCGCTTCTTGGCCAAACTCTTTTTCAAACTCCGCCAACGTGTAGCACGTTCCTCGACTTCGTATTGCTTCCAACACAACATCATGCACGAACTCATACTGGCTCTGCAAATAGCAAACGGTCCAAAGATAAAACAGCTAGATTTAGTTAAGGCATATCCAATTTTCGGCATTCACAGCGAGTGAACGAAGATAATGAGCATTCAAAATTAAATATACTACAATATGATATATCCAAAATAACATTCAAAATTAAATATATGATCAAATTCTGACATTTCTGTGACAATATTAGGAGCCAGTCCTTCCTAGCCTGACAATCTTGGCTTCAGATACAAATCCTCATTTTGACATATTATCCGAATAATTCTAAAGAGATAATATCCGGAAAGAAAAATCCTGCATTCAAAAGTGTTATTATCCCCCGCGACGAAGTGAGGGGGTTACAGGTTCGAGCTCCACCCGTCCGTCCGTCCGTGCGTCCAAGATGATGGGGACAGATTTTCTCAAAAACCGTTATAGATAGGGAAACCTAATTTGGTATGTGTTTTCAGGACATAAATGCCTTGATACAGTTCGAAAACGGAAGCCGTGTTACAATTTGTTACAGAGTTATGGCCCTTGTCATGCGTTTCTTGACTTGGTGCACGGTATTCCCAATGGGGACAGCTTTTCTCAAAAAACTATTATAGATAGGGAAACAAAACCTCGTATGTCTTTTCAGGACAGGGATGCCTTGACAGAGTTCGAAAAATGAAACTGTGTTACAATTCGCTACAGAGTTATGGCTCTTGTCATGCGTTTCTTGACTTAGTGCAAGGTATCAGATTTTCTCAGTAACCGTTATAGATAGGGAAACCAAATGTGGTATGTGTTTTCAGGACATGAATGTCGTGGTGGAGTTAAAAAACAGGAACCGTGTGGCGGGGAATATTGATGACCATGTCTTCTTGTTTGGTGACGAAAGTGTATGGCATTCCTGAACAGGATCCAGAAAAGGCACAAATTAAGCACATGTTTGGGTTACACAAAGTGCCATGAATGAATATGAACAGTTTTGTTCCGGAAGTGATCCTTATGACATTTAACCACAATTCCGACGTGTGGCAACCAACAGAACGTGGATCAAAGATGAGACAACTAACATTAGTGTGGTCATAGACAAGCTGCATCAGCCAGATTTTGACATGGGTATATGTGTTGACTGCAACATTCTTACGACTGTTTGGACCATGTTCATCCGTGCTTCTCTCATCTTCCCCACGCACAAGAACACGTTGACTTTGTTGTCACTGTCAGCCTCGTCCATCAGATGATCCAGAGCAATGTATGTCCCTGTTCGGCCAACGCCAGCGCTGAGTCATAAAATAGCAGGGAGTGTTGTTTGTAAAGGCAAATTGAATCATTAAAATATGTAAATTTGATCCGTTAAGATCCCAGTTAGAATTGGTCTTCAGCACGCCATGCTTGTCATATGAGGCGACTAACGGGATCGGGTGGTCAGGCTTGCTGACTTGGTTGACACATGTAATCGTATCCCAGTTGTGTAGATCGATGCTCACGATGTTGATTATTGACATGTCTGGTCCAGACTTGATCATTTACAGACCGCCGTCATATAGCCGGAAAATTACTGAGTGGAGTTTGGAACAGCAAACAAACAAACAATGTAAAGTTCTTCTAGTATAAGAACAACCAAGGAATTTTAGAGATGCCCATGTCAACACCATGTCATACCCATGTCTTTTGGAAACATACACCGATACATTACTGTTAGTCACTTAATGTGTCAACATATCTAAAGCTATCACTTCTAAATGGCATTCAGAGACCTGATATCCATCTTCTCGAAACGACGAATGGCATTTATGAAATTTGAAAGCCGATATCCACATTATGCAGCATTACCTGCAATGAACGACCAAGGGTCTTCCCTCTGTATCAGCCTGTTTGACCAGTCTCCAGAAGTTGACCAGAGCTGGGGCAGAAGGAACACCATGGTCAGGCCAAGACGTGAAGTGGAAATGTCTGACAAGTCGCTCTTCAGTCTGTGAGTAGAATGAACATATTGATGTATATACATGTACTACTGATGTACATGTACTACTGATGTGAAACATCTTCCTAACAGGAAGTTGACAATATCTAATATATTTAAGAAATTGTATGACGATACAGCATGTGATTGCGCCCAGCATATAAACTAGCTCATACTGATTGAATTCTGTATTCCATTGCTTTCAAGCATATATGACGACGTGAGTATAGAGAATACTAAACGTGTGAATGCTTTGGTATCTTATTAGTATTTATATTACTCACCCAACATTAGCAAAATAATATCTCAGAATTCAACTTACAGAACGAGTGCATTACGCCGTTATAACAAGGGTCACGCGTATGACTACATTTAATTTATGATCGTCAACATTAGTCTGCTTAATTTGATTTTGTAAAGATAAACAAGGCTGTATGAAACAGGGACCAAATGACTTCAACCAGCATACTATTGTTTTTATACAAATGCCGTTACACGCAACCGAGCAAAGAACATTTGAATATCTCGACTTATTGTTATCAGTTTAGGATATTTATAAAGCGCACATTTCCTGGCACTAGTACATGCTCAAGGCGCTGGTATTTTTTCCCTCGATCACTGGATGTCAATCTCAACGGGGAGCATACAACTCTTGCTGCCACAAGGCGCACCGAGTTATTGCGGCTTTCCCATCCTTACGAGGCACCCATTCACAGCTGGGTGGACTGGGACACATAGTCACAGTACTTTGTCCAAGTTTACTGCACGTTGCTGTACCCGCAACTAGGTGTTTGCACGTATTCATATGGCCACCATCTCGTCATATACCAATGGATTCGTGGGTTCTCTTATGTGCACAGGGTTGTGTACTGTACACAAGGGGTTGTGCCAACACTGAAAGAGTCCGCACACAAAGTTGACTCCAAAGTTTTTACACCCGGTCACAGATGGTCTCGATCCCGGCACCTCATGCTCGCTGGATCACTAGCCTGGCGCCTCAGCCAGCTCGCCCACCACGCCCCACCACTTCGAGATGTGTTGTGAATATCAGCCGACATTTTGTTTTGACCACATCAAATAGTTCCGACAGCACGCGATGTTATTACACAATGTGTAATAACATTGTACAGTTATGAAACAGTGAGTAATAGGTTTCTGTAATACACTTACAGTTTTTGTAACCAGAAATGTTGAGGCTATATAGTCAGGTCTCACGACTGCCGTCTTGTTGGTCACGCTGAAGCTTCCATAGCGGCAACTCCTATGTTCAGCAGGCCAGTATTGTGCACACTTTTTCTACAAAAATGAACTCAAAATTATAGTTTGTCTACTGTCAACATGTGCATTCGTTTAACTGAAAGATTAAGACTAATAAGTATTTGCAAAAAAATGTGTCCAAAAATATTCCAGTCTATATTTCACAAGTTTCGGGGTAGAATCGGCATGCAAGGATAATCAACAGGTGCTCTAGAGTTGTTGGATCTCAGCTACAGCAATGACTCAGTAAAGCCTTTGGAGGACTTTTCCAAATTTGACGAATCAATAAAACTACCATCATGTCTGATGCAACTCCCTATTTTAATTTGTCCTATATTTTGAATGTTCCCGTGTATGGCCTGCGTCTGTGCGTGTGAAGGGTGACATCATATTCACGCTCAGCTATATTGCAAACAGCTTGTACCATTGTTGTTCATACCGCCGTGAGGGGCGGTGGGGTAGCCCAGTGGTTAAAGCGTTGGCTCGTCACGCCGAAGACCCGGGTTCGAATCCCCACATGGGTACAATTTGTGAAGCCCATTTCTGGTGTCCCCCGCCGTGATGTTGCTGGAATATTGCTAAAAGCGGCGTAAAACCAAACTCAGTCAGTCAGTCAGTCATACCGCCGTGATGTTGCTGGAATATTGCTAAAAGCGGCGTAAACCCAAACTCAGTCAGTAAGTCATTGTGATTCATAAACGCATGATCACGATGTAGTGGGCAATGATCCTGCTTTTAACAGATTTTTTCATGGGTTCGTTTCGCATATATTCATTATCAATAATTTGACGCGCCTCAAACATACGAGAAACATTCTACCTTTTTCTTTTCCATCAGATTTGTCAGCATGACGATTTCCATGACATTCTCTTGCCACACCATCTGCCAGAAGTCAGTGATCGTTGCAGGTGTCGGACCTGAAAACCCATTTCATCGTATGGCGGAAGTTAGTGAAGGAAGTCAGTGAAGGAACTATGACATGTATACCTACGCCCTTACATGAACATAAACCTTGTTTCCATATAGTGCAATCGACCATAGTTTAGCATGTTAAACTGTGTCGCAATTATAAACCCTTGCACGCATTTAATATGTTGGCATACATTTCCATTTTTTTCATATATAGCCCTCAAATGAAAAACAGAAATGTTACAAGTCTTTGAATGGCATTTAAAAGTGATACACATAAGGAAGAGAGTTTTTATCCTTATCCTTATTAGGTGATGAAGGAGTAAGGATACACTCCGAAACGTTGTGTTCCTCATAGTAAAGAAATTGACATCCATAAAAACTCTCTTCCTTAGAAATGTTTCAGTTTTTTCAATACCTTGTGTTGCTATGTACATGGTAGTGTCATCATGTCCCTGTAAAGTAAACAAACGTCTAGTGAGTGAGTGAGTTTATTTCTACGCCGCTTTTAGCAATATTCCAGCAATATCACGGCGGGGGACACCAGATATGGAAACAAACGTCTAACAATGTACATGTAGTTGTGTTACACAAAACCTTTTGCAATATTTCTACAAATCACAACTGTCATATTAAAGAACACGGTTTTTTAGCAATGCTATGAAGTGTTTGCCCACGCGATGATAGGCAGCTGATTGTTACGTCTTTGAAAGCTTTATGTTCTTCAGTCCAAATGAATGTTAGCTGGTTTGTTGTTTAACACCGCACTCAGAAATATTCCAGCTATATGGCGGCGGTCTGTAAATAATCGAGTCTGGACCAGACAATCCAGTGATCAACAGCATTAGCATCTATCTACGCAATTGGGACTCGATGATATGTGTCAGCCAAGTCAGTGAGCCTGATCATCTGATCCCGTTGGTATGGGTTGCTGAAGACCAAATCTAACCTGGGTCTTCACGGGTATCACATCAATGTAAATGCAGGGTCATATTTGTAGTAAGTTCTGTTTTAATGCCACAAAGTGAGACTGACCAATCGGAGGGCAGAACTGCTGACGCACATGAGCCGGTATACCTTGAGTAATGGCCATCTTGGACTTTTCTACTACCCACCTCACACATTTAAGGTGTACTTCTGACACTAGCTATAGTTATTGGACACTGGTTTGGGTTTTTATAACATTAAATATGATGTGCAAGAATAATATAAGCAAAAATTAAACATCACGTTCGTAACTTATGTAATAAAATCATTGTTAAAGAATTCAACAAAGTTTGGACTATAAGGTGTGACGAGTAGTCTCCCTTTGGCCCTCACACTACAACGTTAAGTTCTTTACTTGAGCAACATTACCAAGGCTTTAGTTAGAAATGTTTTGGACCATCAGATCCCGTTAGTCGCCTCTTACGACAAGCATGGGTTACTGAATACCAATTCTGCCATGACTACCAATATGTTCATACCATGAACTGTATATCCTTACTATTGTACACATAGTCTGATCTATCGTGATACATGTTCAAGCGAACAATGTTTGGAAAACTCACAATATGACCTGGTTTTGACAGTTAAAATGTTGTAAAAACAGAAACACGACTTACTGTGATGTAGTTAGCGTTGATATAGTCTCCTCCCTCCGTCAGCACGACTCTGGAATGGTCATCTGTAAATTCAACGCATATCATAGGTTATAAACTACGTCCATGTATTATACTATTTAAAAAAATGAATAACTCGTCCACAAATAGACCTTAGTACATGAATTTTTACATCAGTTTGGAAGAAGGAAATGTCTATACAACCAAGTGGATAATTTTAGATAACGGAGACGTTGGGCGCGATGGCGACGACGTCGGATCTCCTGGCTCTCGGTCCAATCTCGCTCAACCTGTTCCGTACAGTTTGACCGGATATCCTCCGAAGTCCAGGCACCCTGGCTGTTGTGCCTTCACCCGTGGCAGTACGATCACGCAAATGTAGTACCCGGATGTACCGATCTTGGGCTGCAGTGGTTACTCGAGCTCTGCCTGTACGGGGACGGTCATTTGTTATACCTGTTTGGTTGTAACGAGCTGCAAGCAGTGATATCGTGCTCAGACTAACATTCAGTCGCCTGGCAACAGAAGATTGGGTATCTCCAGCGTGCATTCTTTCAATGGCGATGTTCCGTGTCGCAGCGTCAAGACGTGGCGTAGTGATTTGACCTTGAAACTCCTTTAAAACGAATGTCGATTTCCGAAAGTAATCTGGATTTTTATAGCCAGACAGTGCATGCTCTTTGCTGCACAATTTCAACTGGAAGGTGATTTCTGTTGCGTTGTGGTGATGGGTTTTTTTAATCCTTGTAAGAAATCTCATCAAAATCAACATTTCCAGGTAAAGTCGATATTTTTACGTGTGCAATTGTGTAAAATCGTGTTATCAACACTTTTGTTACATATTTTCACGATTATTTGAACACAATAGGTAATTAATAGATTTTAAGAAATACAAAACGCCTATGCGTTTCTTTTTTTGGATATTATATGTGTATGCTAAGATATCACAAACAGAACATTCACCTTAAGGATAACTAAAGAGAACATTACAGCAGCGTTTGTTTGAAGGTTTTGTGGTTTGTTAACAGTGCACCACCAACTCTTCTGAACAAAATACATGTTTACTTACAGGAATACAGAGCGACAAAGCGGTTCTTGTTCTTGTTGTCCGGCTTCTTTCCAACCTCATGGGAACGTCTCGCGCCATAGGGAATGGCCTGAAATTGTTGGGGTAAACTATGTGAATATATTTTGTTGTCTCAAGTGTGTATTCCACCTTAAAAATGGTTCCGATAATCAAAGACGACCACATTACAGGAATTGCAAGACTAGGTAGCTGCTTGATTGGCCCTACGGCGTTAATCGTTGCTAACAATGCCAGTCTTTGTTTTGTAAGACTTGATATTTCCAGGACGCCGAAATATAGTTGGACTATTTCTGATTTCGGCTTTAAAGATAAGGTGAAGATTCTAATAAGATGAATATGTAGTAAAGCCACACAAACATTTTATATGTCTCACTATCGTAACATGCCTGAAATTCGGCTTGAAATGATGATTTCTTCTTTTTCTTCTCTATACACTGGGGTAGTTTGTCCAGCGCCATGTGGGGAGGTATCCAGTTGTAGTAAGTAGCTGCTGTCTCGACATCTTCAGCTACTCCAGTTTCTAAAGAAAACATGGCGTCCTCGTCCTCGTCATCTAGGACAGGTTCCGATATAGCTCTTGTTGGTTCACCATCGAGCAGAGCTGCAGGTGTTGTCTTAGTTGGTTCACCATCGAGCGGAGCTGCGGGTGGGGCCCTAGCTGGTTCACCATCGAGCAGGGCTGCAGGTGACGCCCTAGTTGGTCCACCATCGCGCGGAGCTGCAGGTGGAGCCCTAGCTGCTTCATCATCGAGCAGAGCTGCAGGCGAGGCCCTTGTTGGTTCATCATCCACCAGGTACCCCTCGGATCGCTCACCTATATGGCAATATTACCTTCGTTCTATTTTCCATCGAAGCATTATTTATGATTTCACTGTTTTACATCAGACCTCTACTCCACACTCTCTAGATCTTCCTTGATTTCGAGTTATCGTAACTGCTTATCATCTACGCGTTTTAGTAGTAGTGAGTATGATGATTTTACGCCGCTTTTAGCAATATTCCAGCAACATCACGGCGGGGGACACCAGAAATGAACTTCACACATTGTACCCATGTGGGGAATCGAACCCGGGTCTTCGGCGTGACGAGCGAACGCTTTAACCACTAGGTTACCCCACCGCCCCTCTACGAGTTTTAGGGAATACCCCTAACGAGCTTTTGATGTGGGGGAGACGAAGGACATGTAGGTGAGATCACGTGGTCATGCGCTATTCTCATCTTACCGACTATCCATCAGAACCTTCTAGATACCAAGATATTCCTAGATTCGAAACTACAATATTGAACAAACTTTATGGATAAGAACTTCTTTTGGGATTCGCAGTAAGTGGTTTCGAATTCAAGAATTATCGTGATTGTACATTTGTATTGTCAACGGCATACTCTCAAAACTAAATGAATCCATGTCTCATTATTAAAGGGTATACGTTTTGAAACATTTCATTTGAGGCGTTAAAACCCAACTCACTCAATTAAACCAAAGGAATAAGTAAATATCATCACCCACGTCTCCACACGCACGACCAAAATCGTAAACATTTCAGTTACTGATATTTCATCAGTGAGACTTTAAAGCTCCCTGGCTTGAATCCGCGATATGTTACACTGGGCGATTTCAAACCACCAATAAGGCATTAGCTTCCTAAAGTATTCTGACAAATTAAACTATTACCGTTAACTGAATTGTCCACCATCGTAATCATGTCATACTGGGGGTGTAAACTTGAGCCATCAGCATTGTCTTTTTCTCTTTTGTCTTTAGTTACCGTCCTTCATGTAACATGTGAAATTGAAAATAATATAAATTTTTATCTATTGTTATGCAACAACACACAACTGTTACATACTCTAGGTTCTACAAATACGTAGCGTAATTAGATATAAAACATTAATATAGCTAACCTCGGATGTCATTTGTATTTATATTTTCACGTACATTTTAATGAACAAATTTATTTTGTCAAAAGTCAGACAAACATACCGTCTCCTGCAGATAACAACTGCTGCTACGACTACAACAACGACAGCGAGTGCCGACACGGCTGCTCCCCCTGCTATTATAGAGTTGTCAAGTCCAGGAGAATGGGCTAGAGCTTCTCGGAAGAAATAAGATAAACGCCATAATTAAGCGTCATTAATAATTATAAAATCACTTACATTTTGAAAACTTTAAAATTGTCACCATATATTACTACAGTGAAACCTGCCAACACCGGCACCTTTCTAATCCGGCACACTGTTAAAACCGGCATAAAATTTTGGCCCTGCCACTTTACAAATATATTATGATCTAATGTCTAATCCGGCACCTGTATATTCCGCATGACTTTCCGGTCCCAACAAGCAATTTTAACTGTAATTAACACTGCCTTAACCGTATCAAAACGCCAACGACCTTCTCACCATTTTTACACCGCACATCTGCCTGGTCATAGCCTGATACACAGCCATACGGACACTCTCCTGTTCCTGTGTCACAGCGATCAGTTCCCGCACAGTTTCCACATGTCTCATTACAAGTGGCCCCGTAGTTGGTATGGAGACATTCTGTGAGTAGAATGAGTACTGGTTGTGAACATAAGCATGCGCATTGTATTGCTATATGACCTATTGAATCCAAATCTGTATTTAACTATTACATATGACCACTCATTAGTTGTGTAACCGTTTGGTCGCTGGTCCAGAAGTTTCAATGCTTTTCTTTTGAGAATCCCGTACAGACCCCGGTTAGAATTGGTTTTCAGCAACCTATGCTAGTCGTAAGAGGAGACTAACAGGATCGGGTGGTTAGGCTCGCTGACTAGGTTGACACATGTCATCATATCCCAATTGCGTAGATTGATGCTCATGCTATTGATCACTGGATTGTCTTGTCCAGGCTCGATTATTTACATACCGCGATGTCAAACAAAAAAACAAACAACTTCTTTTGAGCGCTGTGTAAGAGCGTAAGTCCACCCTGTAGGTCTGATGATATCTATCATATTTTCTGAAGGTCTCGGGATGTGTTGCCGTGATGAAGTTCGAAAGTGAAGTCTCTCATTTTCCTTTCCAGAAATACACAGCATCATTAAAACATTTCCCCACTGTCAGATATATAATTAGTGGGATAAGAGCTGTCTATGTTTTTGCTTCCTCGTCCCTGTAATTTGAAAGGAAACAATGCTACCCTAAGGTATCCCTTCACTTCCAGCACTCTCGATACTAGTGGACATGCTATCGGTATATAACTCTTAATTTGAGTGATGATGAAGACCCAAGCCAAAATAATTACATAGGTGACTAATACTACAAACTATTTTGGTGTTTGTACTAACATTACCTTGGCATAACGGTGCAGAAAAATTCCCTTCACATCCATCCTGGCAAGTCCCGTCAGTATTGTTACAGATTCGATTGGAGCAATGTCCACACTGCAGTGTACAATCTGTGCCATACATGCCTTCATCACATGCTGAAATTATGTAAATGTACAAAACAATGTTCACAATTCCTTTGTGAGAGGTGTGATACGTATGTAGAACAGAATACACATGTGATAGAAATAACAGAAAATTTTGAATTTCAAGTACATCACTAATATATCCCAATGGAATAGGTATAAACTTACTAACGATTTCGGTCATTTAAGATATGTGTTTTATATAACGTGTCCTTTATTAATACATGAGTTTTATATATCAAAGGATATAATACACATGTGTTATCATCTACCAGGTCAGATAAAAAGAACCACATTCTTCTGATTCATTCATTGCAATTTACATGTTTACATTTACGAAAACAAATTGGCTTATCTATTAAGGACTGCATCGATATCTTCTAGAGAAAATCAAAGCTCTTTGCTGAAAGAATGCAGCAGCACCACCGTTCTCCTTTCGTTACATAATGTTTTACATGGTTAAATATATTCGTGTGTAATCGTTAGAGCCAATCAACTAAACCCTGAAGATTATCAAGAGTGCTTGCACAAGTAAGACAAACACTAACGTTGTTGACATGTGCCGTTCAACCATCCAGGTTGACACCCTCCCAGACAAGCCCCAGATGTCTTGTTACAGTCTTCCAGACACCTTCCACACTCGTTGGTACAGTTGATACCATAGAAGCCATCGGCGCATGCTAAGAATAAAACACATTTAAATACACAACAAGTTGCATTGAAGTCAGCATGGGAAGTTTAAATTAATTTGAAATATACAGATTTAGAAACTACGTTTGAAACTTATAACTCCATCTCAAATCTACCAAGATAAATTGGTTAACTCTGAAAATGCCATGGCTGTTCTTGCTGACAAGGTCTAAAAAGACAATGACTTTAAAAACGGATCGGGCAGTTTGTTACATGAAAAGGTTTGGTTATATAAGAGACGCAAGCAGGGATGCCACACAAAAGGCGCGCCAGTATGTTAACTGTGGAATATATCTGCTAAAACCACACATCAGTATAATAAACTTTTGGGGTTAGTCTCCTTTTGAACCGGATTCAAACGATCTGCACCCACCAGTATAACGAAAACGTAACGCAAGGTCTAAAACCCTGCTTCAAAGATTAACCATAGTTTTCAGCACAATCAAAGATGGGCAGTCTTTATTTTCACAGGAGGATTTTGAGACGATTTGAGTTGATATGATGTAGCTTCTCAAAAACACTGAAAGTATAAGCCCGTTTGGTATTTTTTGGCAATAACAGAAAACATCCGAACTCAGATCTGTAACGACATTTGATAGTGATTGGTTTGCACCGATAAACCCAGGTAGGCAAATTCTTTCTTCCTGTGGTGACCAAACATAGTTCTCTATCTCCAAAGTCTCAGGACCCGTGAAGATCCGGGTTAGAATTCGTCTTCAGCAACTAATGCTTGTCTTGTCTTAAGAGGCGACTAACGGGATCGGGTGGTCAGGCTCTCTGACTTGGTTGACATATGTCATCGTATCCCAAATAGCGGGTATAATACTGAGTACTAATAAAACGAAAGTCTCAGGACATTTATTTGTCACAATTGAAATCGAATCTCATTATGAAGTTTACTGATTAAGCAATGCGTGATATGCTGGCCTTCCTTATTGATGACACCCATGGGGAAATTTGGTCGGTAAGACGTAGGCATCAGTTTCCCGATCTGTTTGTTTAAAGCATAGGAATAAAAAAAAACGTCTTCCCGGATTAGTAAATGGGAAACATAGTAATTTGGACAACATGTTTCACCTGAACTTGAGTATGATATCATAGTTCAATAATGACCAACTAGCCAATTCCTTTTCCAATGATTTACCCAGCGAAACAAGAAATACCAGACCAGTGATACTGACTCATCTGTTTCATATTAAGATCTATGTATAAAGACACAGTGACTTGTGACATACAACCTAACATCAATGTATATATTGTCACTCACGGGGTCGTAGCACTAAATGAAAGGTGTGAGCGATCGAGTGAGTTTAGTTTAACGCCGCTTTTAGCAATATTCCAGCAATATCACGGCGGGGGACAACAGAAATGGGTTTCACACATTGTACCGATGTGAGGAATCGAAACGCTTGAACCACTAGGCTACCCACCGCTACCAAATAAAAGGATAAGAATGTAACGATGTCAACACGCCAAGTTCGTTCCAGGACGAATAAAATGATGCTAACTATAGATGTCTATATAAAACTGATAAAGCCAACTGTCTGATGGGCACCTATCATATATACCGAAATGTATGGGATAGATCAAGGTCCTGGTCGCCAACGGCAAACGGGCACGGCAAAGGCATTATCAGTGCCTCAGAATGAATGACGATGAGTGAGTGTAGTTTTACGCCGCTTTTAGCAATATTCCAGCAATACCACGGTGGGGAACACCAGGTACAGGCTTCACACATTGTACCCATGTGGGGAATCGAACCCGGATCTTCGGCGTGACGACTGAACGCTTTAGCCACTAGGCTACCCCACGGCCCCGAATGAGGAGGAAGCCACTGACAGATGTGGTCGATTCAGCGTATTTTGGTGCGAGGTGTTTGTGTACACAATACAGCAAACACAACACTCGTTAAGTTAGCACTAAACATTCTGAGCAGGGATACAGGCTTAGAATCGCAATGCTACGACACTTTCTTCTGACGTGTAAATACTTTGCCTTAAAGCAAATATATTCATCGCACTTCTCTATACTTACGCTGTGTGCATGTGACGCTTGTCCATCCTGCTGAACATCCGCTTGGACACGCTCCTGTTTCCTTGTCACAGATGTCCAGATCATTCAAACAGTTTCCACATTCGGATGTACAGTTGATACCGTAATAACCGCCAGCACATGCTGAAAAGTATATGACTTGCATTAGGGAGATATACACACAAATATATGCACACCGCATATCGTTTACCATGGTGAAATATAATACATGAGGTATTATGTGAACTTGTATATTAGACATTAGACATAACATACATTCCTATAAGGGTGGGATCCTTCTATGACAACAGTATTTAACAATCGGGTTTGAACGCTGAAGTATTTTGTACCGACCAAAAGCTCCTCAGGACAAAAGCCCCTTGGTACAAACGCCCCTCGACCAAAATCCCTTCTGGACAAAAACCCTCGCGAAATTTGAGCCCCCATGTCAAAAGCCCTTCGATTCATGTATTTCATAAAAGAATGAAAATTTCTCACTGCTCTTGTATATGTTATACAGTATTTTTAGTAGGAAAAGGTATTTTATATTCTATAAAGTATAATGAACTAATCTCATTGCTAATTATATATTTCATAAAGTACTTTATCGCATCAATGTAAAGGAAATGGAGAAAACCTATAAAGGAAATTGGTATTTTGCAAAACAAACATTTCTCACAGCCAAACTCAGACTTTCCCATATTATTTAGAATCATGATATTATGAAGCAAAACAATTTGTCATATCATTCATCATTTCTTGTCTTTAATCTTATTTTTCCATTAATACATAAAGTGTGGGGCTTCTGGTCATTTTTCGAGTGGCTTTTGTCCAGAGGGGCTTGTGGTCGAGGGACTTTTGTACCAAGGGGCTTTGAACCTAGACTCATGCTACAGCATGCATTTATTCCAGTCCTGTGGATTTAGTTTAGATTGTGCCTCATCTCGTTTTTAAATTCTCTTAAGTGTACATCAATTCCACATATCTTGTTTAAGTGTGTCTGTAAAACGGTGGGGGGAAATGTTGAACAAATACATTTTTGACAATTTGCCGACTAAGATCAGATATAAACAAACGAATTGGTTAAAGTAAGATTTTGTTTTGTTCACAACCTTGATTTGACCTTGAGGGCCTTAGTTTATTTTTGTCACTTACTGAAATTTGATACAACTTGAACTGAATAAACCTTTTTTGTGAAATAATGTAACTTTAGTGGGAGTGCAATGTTATATTATGAAAATGTTTCATTTGTTAAAGCTGAATTGTGATATTATGTTTTGCAAATCTAATTGAAATTATCCGTTGTCAAAATCTGCCCATTCTTGATGTAATTTGGATTGAGAAAATATTTTTTTTAAACCTAACATTTCCGTCGTGTGAGTATCGCATTTAAATTGCCCTAATATTCAATACAATTTACTCGGAAATAGATGACAGATTATTTTCAGATCCAGACGTATACAAATAATGCAAGAGAAAACGTGACTCATTAACTATCCCTTAATAGGGATTCTGAAAGTGGTTGTATCTCTTCGTACATGTTCAGCTTGGTAATAAACTCTTTAAAACAGTAGGGGAACTTTAATTGACGATTGAACACATTGGGAGATATATCGGAGTCAATCAATGTTGATGCGATAACAATTAATATTTTGAGAGTGCGTCACCACTTGCACTTCTTTATGTTGTTTGTGCAGTAATCGCCCTTGAATGAAGAAGGTTGGTGTATGACGTGAAATTTGCAAGTGTACCATTTTCATTTTCAAACATACAAAAACGGCTAGAAACAAACGCTGACAACTGTATAATTGTCAAAATTAATGGTCTACGGTGATTTATTGACCTTCTTGAAAAACGTCAAAATCAAGAATGACACAACAAACTTTATGGATAACAACTTCTTCTATTCGTGAGTGCGACGTTTCGATACAGAATTCTTGTAACGTTGTCAAGCATAAATGGAATGACTCATCATGCCCGTGTATGGGGCTACTGCGTTGTGCACGTGCATCCCATGCATTGTGTTTACGGATGGTGATAAAGAGAAATGGTTGTGCGTTCATAAAATGTCTGTCTTTGAAAAACCCGTTAACGCTTATACTTCCTATCCAAGTGGAAAGTTTAGGTTTCCCCTACATTTTTAAAGAGTATACATACCTGTTTGACAATCTGCCCCAATGAATCCCGGAGCACATCCGCTAGGACACTGTCCAGTAATCTTGTCACATATTTCCGTGTTGTTGAAGCATTGACACTGTTTGTCACAATCGTCACCAAACCATCCATCAGCGCACACTGAAAAAATATTGAGGAAAAGATACAAAGACTTCATGGCTGTTTTTCTGAAAGAATAATGCAAAGAAATCATGTCTTCTTTCTGAAACGATGCCGGCTATTTGTTATGTTTATGCGTGGCGGCTTTCATTACAAGACATCAAATAACAAACGAAGGAGAAGTGAACCCTGCTAAACGAATAGTTGTATCAACTCTAGCTTACCGAATATCTGTACCTCACACAACGTAACGAAGGTCCCGTTTCTTGGTATCTGTATCTTGACTATGTTTCCCAGCAGTGGCGGATCGCAGGTAACGCTTGCTACATCATCAGGTGGGTGTTTGTCTATTTCCCATTTGACACACAACTGATCGTTCACGAGTATCTCCATCCCATTGTGACGCGATTTAACTACGTGATACAAACACAGATGGCAAGTAGAAGCAGATTTATGTTATTCCTTTCTATTCTTAGGCCTTAATTACCCTTCTCAATAAAGTATAATGGATCTGCGTTGTTTTCATGGGTAATAGTATCCTTCAATATCAGAGCGATTGTCTATTTTCACTGGGACATATACTATTGAAAACGGAATGGAACCCCGTCCCACAATCAAACTGTTAAATCGTGCAATGAATAATTAATAATCTATATAGCGCCGAAAATCCATCTAGAAGGTGCCTTGTGGCGCCGAACACGTGTGAGAGTAATGGAAAGGTTTGCAGAAAGAGGTGAGTCTTCAGATCAGATTTGAACTTTGTTGTGGTCATAGGCAGCCTGAGTGATAGTGGAAGACTGCTCCAAAGATGGGGCCTGCGGTGGAGGACGCTCTATCACCCATTGCCGTTTCGCTGAGTGAAGTGGAGAGAAGGAACTGGTTACAAGAGCGAAGAGATCCACTTGGTTTGTGGAGAGTGACAAGGTCCTTGAGATAAGAACAGGAATTGTCATAGATGCAGTTATGGGTGAGGAGGAGAACCTTAGGAGGAGAACTGCACCTAACTAGAGCTATATATTCTGCATGTGCATGTACTCACAGTTATTCCGTAGATAGAGTCTGATGTGTTGTATCCTGTCACTGTTTGTCGTGTTCAACTGTACCGACCAGTAAGAGATCCGGTCATTCACTTTTGTTGTGTGTGAACACGTAAATGGTCTCTTATAGAATTCTGTTGTACTGATGCCATCCACTCCATGCTCTGATGTGAAATTGTAGCTTCTATTATTTGTCTTATGCGTGTTTTCGCGGTACGTACTGCTCTGGTTCGTAGGCCTACCAAGCGCAACATTTTCTAAAAAAACAGAAATCAATATTACTTAATATGGCCTCACTGTTTCTGTGAAGGACCTTTTACAACTCCAAAAGACTTATACAATATAGGGAGGGATTCAGGTGTTCCAACATCACTGACAGAACTCCATAGAACGTAGTTCATTCAGGTTAGTCTCTGAATTTTTTAGCCACCCCCCTCATATATACGTGTTCACTGGATCTCGAGATTTATAAACATGCAGTTTGGACCATAAGTAGGTCCTTAAATTCATTAAAATAACTCATTCGCTGTGATAAATTGTGATACCCGAGCACAAAATTCGCATCGTTTCTTTTGCAAATGAATACGATTATAATCACATTATAACTGAACTATGAACGTAGTTATGTTTAACCTCATAAACATTTGCCGTTCGTGTATGTATATGGTGCCATCATCGCATAGTTCCTAGATATTTAAAACGTCATCGCCAGAGGATAATCAGTCTCGACCTCACGCCGAAACAGATTGAATATAGACAACATACTCGTAGTAAAAAAAAATATACACAGACAGGGCACATTCAGTACTTAGATTGTGGAGTTCGTTGTGTCTGTTAAATACCTATAACTATGGCAGCGTATATGTATGCTCGTCTTTGGTTAAATGTGTATTCGACCCGTGAAGATTCGGGTTAGAATTGATCTTCAGCAGCCCATGCTTGTCGTAAGAGGCGACTAACGGGATCTGGTGGTCTAGCTCGGTGACACATGTCATAGTATCTTAATGGCGTAGATCGATGCTCTAGATGTTGATCACTGGATTGTCTGATCCAGACTCGAAGATTTACAGATCGCCGTCACATAGCTGGAATATTGCTGAATCCGACGTTCAACAAAAGACAAACGGCAAGTGTGTGTGCTCTACACTAAAACACAACAACGTTATGAGTTACGGATATATGATATCACCCTTTTGACAGTATGGGCCAAACCACCCCTCCTGACATCTGTCTGGACCACCACTGCCGTTGCAAGGACTCGAGGGGAACACGTCGCAGGCACTTATGCTGTTACAGTGACACTCGGCATCTGTCGGAAGTATTAATATACTGCACAAAAATAGTTGTAAATTTTGAAATTATGAATAATGATCTATTTATTCATTGACATACTGATAAAATATTAATCATAAAAATATCAATATCCCTAACTTATTTTGTCCAGTATATTATTAACACATCTTACATTATAACACAAACGATGTTATAGAGTTTCCACATTAAAACAATAAAGATGGTATGATTTAGACGAATAATCACTGGAACGAGGACAAATACATTTATCATCAGGATAAATTGCTTGTGTGAGATCAAACGATATCTCCTAAGAGATAACGTTTTTACGGTACATTTTGTACAATGCCCTGACGTCATCAATTACATGACCCACAATGCTATGACGTCTTAAACTCGATGACGTCACGATGCTATGACATCGGTGCACTGTAAGTCTATAGCAAGTACCGTGTTCAGAGATGTACAGTTTTCATTGAAACTAATGAAGAGATGTCTTCTGATATAAAGTATATCAAAACTCTTTGATAAAAGTACAAATTTGTAACTTTATCAACTCGTAGTCATATAGTTCATATAATCAAAAGACACTCGGGTGAGATTCTCTATACATGGATATCCACCCCAAAACGTGTAATTTGTTAGATTACGCTCAAAGTATGCCTTCAACAAAATTCTCTCACAACAATTTACAGTTAAGTCGCCCAATTATTGCATACCAATGACTCTTTGAATTGCAGAGATCAGTAATGTCATCGACCACCAATTCATTGCGGCTCATCAGATCCCTGCCAAAACAAATTATTCTGAATTTATGTATATAGATATATTATAACAACATAAAAGTATCTTATAATTAGAAACAGAAGTAATAGAATATTCGCTTGTGTATCTGTGTCGTCACACAGTCCAAGCAAGATAGGCATATGATGAAATTAAGGAAAGAATGAGAAGCCCTCAGTGGACTAGGATGAGTGATGGTCAGCAATATTCGTGGCATCTAGTGAATAGTGTAAGTGATATCGAGATATTTTGAGGTGACATCCAATGTGTATATTAGGGTGGTGTTAGGTATGTAGAGAGATGCGTTGTCTCGTGTGTCCTGGCAGATCATCGGCAGTGCAAAGCATGAGGTGGTATTCAGTGAATAGCGCAACTGTGTAACATGCTGTGGTATCCAGTGTTGAGTGAGGTAGCATCGAGTTTGTATTTTGGGGTGTCCGCATGTATATGCAAGTGGAATCCAGTTTTAGAGTGCAAGCTTGTGTCGATTGTGATCTGCTACCCAGCTGATTGCATGAGGAAGTTAACGTGGTGTTAAGTGTATTGGATGAGGTGGTTCTCAGTGTGGCATGTACGTCAATATCAGTGTGAAGAGAGAGAGCAAGTGTCAAGTGGGTTGAGTTAGGTGGAAGCCTTTAAAGATGTTATTTCAGGTGCAAGATGGGACCAGTGTATAGAATTAGATACTGTCCACAGTGTTACGTCAGCAGATGCCCAGTGTGAAGAGAGTGGTGATATATAATCTGTAGCGCGAGGTAGTGCCCAATGTGAAGAGTGAAGTTGTGAGGTTTTCGTCAGTGCTATCCAGTGTGAGTGAGTGAGTGAATTATAATTTCAGGCTAGACTAGAATATGGTGACTAGAATAGGTAATATGTTAATAGTAGGTAGATATACAGTGAGAGGGTGAGTTTAGCGTGTAGCAATATTCCAGCAATATCACGGCGGGGTACACCAGAAACGGGCTTCACATATTGTACCTGTGTGGAGAATCGAACCCGGGTCTTCGGCATAAAGACCGGACGCTTTAACCACTAAGCTACCACGCCACTTTTAGCAATATTCTAGCAATATCACGTGGGCAGACACCAGAAATGGGCTTCAAACATTGTACCCATGTGGGGAATCGAACCCAGGTCTTCGGCGTGACGAGCGAATGCTTTAACCACTAGGCAACCCTACCGCCCCGGATGTATATAGTGTATAGCGCATGGCAGTGTGAAGAGTAAAGTTGTATCCAGTGTGTAGAGTGAGGTGGTATCTAGTGTGTAGAGTGATGTGATATCTAGTGTGTAGAGTGAGGTGGTATCCAGTGTGTAGAGTGAGGTGGTATCCAGTATGTAGAGTGAGGTGGTACCTGTGAGTAGAGTGAGGTGATATCTAGTGTAGAGTGAGGTGGTATCTTGTGAGTAGAGTGAGGTGGTATCCAGTGTGTAGAGTGAGGTGGTAGCTTGTGAGTAGAGTGAGGTGGTATCTTGTGTGTAGAGTGAGGTGGTACCTGTGAGTAGAGTGAGGTGGTATCTTGTGAGTAGAGTGAGGTGGTATCCAGTGTGTAGAGTGAGGTGATACCTGTGAGTAAAATGAGGTGGTATCTTGTGTGTAGAGTGAGGTGGTTTCCAGTGTGTAGAATGAAGTGGTATCTTGTGTGTAGAGTGAGGTGGTGCCTGTGAGTAGAGTGAGGTGGTATCCAGTATTTAGATTGAGGTGGTATCCAGTGTGTAGAGTGAGGTGGTACCTGTGAGTAGAGTGAGGTGGTATCTTGTGAGTAGAGTGAGGTGGTATCCAGTGTGTAGAGTGAGGTGATACCTGTGAGAAGAGTGAGGTGGTATGTTGTGTGTAGAGTGAGGTGGTATCTAGTGTGTAGAGTGAGGTGTTATCCGTGTGTAGAGTGAGGTAGTGTCTAGTGTGTAGAGTGAGTGATATCTAGTGTGAAGTGAGAGGTGGTATCTAGTGTGAAGTGTGAGGTGGTATTCGTGTGAGGAGTGAGGTTGTATCTTGTGTGTAGAGTGAGGTGATATATAGTGTGTAGAGTGAGGTGGTACCTGTGAGTAGAGTGAGGTGGTATCTTGTGAGTAGAGTGAGGTGGTATCCAGTATGTAGAGTGACGTGATACCTGTGAGTAGAGTGAGGTGGTATCTTGTGAGTAGAGTGAGGTGGTATCCAGTGTGTAGAGTGAGGTGATACCTGTGAGAAGAGTGAGGTGGTATGTTGTGTGTAGAGTGAGGTGGTATCTAGTGTGTAGAGTGAGGTGTTATCCGTGTGTAGAGTGAGGTAGTGTCTAGTGTGTAGAGTGAGTGA